AAATCCAAAAGATTAATACTAAATTGTCAGAAATAGATAACACATTGGAAGGGCAAAGGAGAAGAATTGATGCGATGGAAGACAGAATTAATGAGATGGTAGAAGAAGTTTTGCAATTTCTTAAACTGTTAAAGATAAACCTACCATATGATCCACCCATTTACTTCTAAGTATTTTCCCAAGAGAAAGGAAAGCATATGTCTACACAAAGTCTTATATATGAACATCCATAGCAGCTTTATCTGCAATAGCTAAAAACTGGCAACAACCTAAAAATCTACCCACAGGTAAGTGGAAAAACATATTGTGGTTATATTCATATCACAGAATACTACAAACAATAAAAAAAAAAAAAAAAAAGAACCAACTATTAGTATATGAAACATCCATGGATAAATCTCAAAAGAATTATTCTAAGTGAAATAAGCAAACAGCCCCCTCCCCAAAAAAAGGAATGAATTTTCTTCATAATTTAATCATTTAATTTATAGTGACAGAAAGCAGCCTAGACTGAGGATGGGAGGAAGGGAGAAAGAGAGGGATAATGGGGCAAATTATAAAGAGCCACCAGGAAATGTTTGTGGGTAGTGAGTATGTTAATAATCTTTCCTATGGTGATGGTTTCACAGATGAGATGTATAAAAGTCTTATCAAATTGTTATACTGTGTATATATACAGATTATTGTACTTCAATTATACCTCAATAAAGCTATAAAGGAAAAAAGAAAACACTGTCAAAGATAGAATTCTTGTAGAATCCTGATGTTTAAGGGTAGAAGAAAGAAAAGCACTAAAGGAGAAAGAGGAAAACTGGTCACAGGTGGGATAAGAAGGAAAATTGACCAGAGAACCTGAAAGTTTTAGGAAACTTGTAAACAGTGCTGAATTATGCTGAGAAATTAAGAAAACTGATGACTAGGAGAAAGCCTGTGGATTTATATATTAGTGGATACGTGTTAAAACAGCAAATTCAGAAATCACCAAAGAGAAAAGCACTGGTCAGAATGTCTGGGATTAAGAGAACAGAAGGTCAATGAGAGGTAGCAGAAGGACAGCACACATCCGAAAAGTATTAAAAGAGGGAAAAAGAGTTGATGTAAAATGGAAGTGTCACTCATCAGTAATATACTCCTTTCCTTCCTGAACAACCAATGCTTTCCTGAAACCACAGACAACATGAGTGGACTTATGTTTTACTGGCATAACTGTTCTGGTTACCTAGTGCCACTCTGACAAGAATATACCACAAATGAGATGGCCTTAACAAACAGGAGTTTATTCTTACAATTTGGAGGCTTTAACTCCAAGTTCAAGTGCCAGGCTCTAGGGGCTGGGTGAAAGCCTCTCAACCTT